TTTAAAGAGAAGAAATTTTGTTTTAAAATAAAATATTCCTTCTTCTCCTAGAACAAGAAAAAATATGATAATGAAGGACTGACCAGTGTATGATTTATATAAATTCTAGAGAATTACGGCTGCGCACTGTCTGAAGTATAAATCGATGTCTTTATACCAAGAGATAAAGTAGTAAGTGACTCTCTTTAGGCTGCAGACACCGCATATCATATATTCTTTATTTTTATTCTGGGCCATGTGAACTCGTTTGTTTCTTTGAGTCCAGAAACAGACAGCACCAAGATGGATTTATTGGAGTGTTTTAGTGCACTTCAGTGATTAAGCAATTTGCACTGTAGGCCACAAATACCATGCAGAGCAACTGCCTGGTGAGAATAGAGACCATCAAGAGTCTGACAGCAAATCCCCGCTTTCCGTGATCACAGGTGTTCCTGAAGAGCGACCGCGTGACGCGCATGGTGCAGAGCGGCGGCTTCTCGGCCAACGACTGCCGCGAGGTCTTCAAGAAGCACATCGAGAAGCGCGTGCGCAGCCTGCCGGAGATTGATGGCCTCAGCAAGGAGACGGTGCTCAGCTCCTGGATGGCCAAGTTCGACACCATCTACCGCGGCGACGAGGACCCGCGCAAGCAGCAGCAGCGCATGACGGCCAGCGCCGCCTCCGAGCTCATCCTCAGCAAGGATCAGCTCTACGAGATGTTCCAGCAGATCCTGGGCATCAAGAAATTTGAGCACCAACTTCTCTACAACGCCTGTCAGGTAACAGCTGTCAGCATTAAGGTTGGGAAACAGGCTATGCAGAGTATTATCAATCACTCGATCTCCAGACAAGGGGAAGAATTTACAGGAAGTAATTTGAAGCAAGCAAAACATGTATTGAAAGAACCAATATTGAATGAGTTCCAGGTGCCCGCGACACGCAGTCTTAGTCCTGGGGACACTGAGCTGGTTTTTGTTTCAGTCAGGCACTTAGACATTACGGAGCTTTTACTTTTTTTGCCTTTTACATCTATCAAAGTACCACAGATGAGAAATAATTGATTAGAGAATGCTTATGAGCAGTTCCGTGTAATAATATTTATGTGAGATTACATTTCACTGTGGCATAGCAAGACCACAAGGTTGTTAAAAATTGCAACTTTTTATTCAGCAGCTCATCTTGATAGGGCTGTTTGAGAAATGAAGAGTCAGGGATTAAGTTACACTGGTTTAGGCTAATAATAATAATAATAATAATAATCAGGGGTATAACAATACCGTTTACCCACGGTTCGGTATGTACAGTGCTTTTCAGGTCATGGTAGCAGTAAGGTTTCTGTATCCTTATAATTCATTAAAAAAAACACATCACCATTTAATTAAAAAACAAACTCTTTATTTTGCCAAATAACTGGATATTTAGCCACGATACAAACCGAATCGTGGGAAAAGGTATCAATACACCCCTAATAATAATGCTACATGGTGATTATGATATGGAAACATATTTGTAAAATCGTAATATAGCTGTAAAATCTCAGAAGAAGACTGCTATGAGCTACCGTACCGAAAATATTAGAAATTCTGTGTTCATATGTCTGTGACAGTTAGGAAATAAAGAGATATTGCGATATTACATATAAATGCGGAGAGAGAGGGAGGAAAAAAAGGGCAGTGAAAATCATAGGTTGGGCCCACAATTCGCTTGAGGGACCGTGATCCTGCTGCTGTTGGAGACACATGAATCCAGTATAATATCTGACTACAGATAAATAAGGTGCCGTATACGCAGTGTAAAAAACCCAGTGTGGCTCTGGCAAATAAGGTGCCGTATACGCAGTGTAAAAAGCCCAGTGTGGCTCTGGCAAAGTGCTGCATACTGATCCCCTTCTGGCTATTATTATTGCTATTTTACATGCACAAAATGCTCTCTGAGAAGTGCACAAACTGAAAGAAGAAACTATTTTTGGTGACAAAAATATGAAAATAACAGTTTTAATATTGCTAAGTAGCTGAGATCCTCATACATATTCATATAATTTTGTTTTGATATTTGAGTGTGTTTGTGTCATAGAGCACTATGATATTCTGATAATAAGTGTAAAGATTTATAGAGTCCTAGGAAGATTTTCCTTTGTGACCTTTGAGTGAGGATGAGTGTTTACCGTGATATGCGTTTGGTCAGTAATTTCAGCCATTGTGTGATGGAGATGTGTCCTGCAGCACCATTAGCCTTAGATTGATGGACATGCTAGAAGCGGTAGGCTGGAGGACACGTCCCGAAGATATGGATGTATTGTAGCTGTTGTTAATAGTGCAATGTTTACATATATCTGGATTAATCTCATTTTAAGCTTTTTGTGTTATGTGAATTGTGCTCAGTGATTGGCATGCTGTTTGGAATGTTTGATTAATATTTCCTGTTATTCCTACATATTTAGATTTTTTTGTGAGCTGACAATTTAGCTTATTTCATCGGGTAATGTTTAGTTTTAATGTTTAATGTTTAATATGTAATGTTGATTACATACACTTAATTTGTAAACGTATCACCTGCTAGGTGCCATCGAAAATTTGACCCAAAAATGGTTATATTTACTGATCTTATCAGCTTGCTCAACTCAGTATAAGCTGAGGATACAATGAAAAAACTACCTTGCGATTCTAGGAAGGGTTATTGCCTGAAATCTGTGCCATCAGGGATTTTTGGCGACATCCAGATGCAAGGTGTTTTGCAGCTTCGAAGCTGTGCATTCTGATGGCCCCTTAGCTGTTAGATTTTAGCTGCCGTTTCCCCAAGCAGGTTCCAGTTAGCACAGCTGATGTTCTGCTGACCTATGAAGGCTGAGGACATTCTGCCGATTGCTATTTTATGCTTCCATATGGTGGCGGCCTTAGTTATTTGGCTGGCTGCATTTAGTAGTTACTTATTTATTTTTGTTGACCTTGATCGAATGGTCTTTGTACTGAACTTGGTCATTCCAGAGGCAAGAGAGCATTCTGGGATGTGCTTCTGCATGCCAGCGGAGAGGCACTGACACACGAGGGGTGAAGTATGGTGAAGGATGGGTTTTATGAACATAAACCTCAGAGGGGTGGAGGTGCATTATTCCCATATAACCTCCTCCCCCCCAGAGTGGTTTATCCCGTTTAAAATAGGGCCACCTGCCAAAAGAGACATTTATTCTTCCAGGAGAAAATATTTGCTCATTTAAAATAGATGATAAGAGCATGAAATGTGTCTATGCATGAGCCAACACGTCAGTTCCTGCAGGAGCTGCAAAGGCAGCAGCAAACAAGCTAATTTATGGCCAGGTAGCCTTTTAGGAGGCCTGCAGCTGTGGCTGATTGGCTTGGGGATCTCATCACAGATGAGGGTTCGCTCTTCGTGGCGATGAAGCCCCACTGACATGGGGGGCATTTCAGAGAGACGAGCTCCGCGTGTCGAGGTGTCTGGGCTCCCTCCTGCCTGGCCTCTGTCATTTCTGGGTGGATAAGTCTTCACATTCAGTAAACATATGGAATGTCCGACTCGGAAAAGCGTTGGCGTTTTCCGTTTCACTTGTCACATTGCTGCAGCTGGCTGTGTTGTAACTGCTTGTTGTCATTGTTGTAAGCAACAGTTGTAAGTATGAATTTATTAAATGAATGGAGAAAATGGACACATTGATAAATATAAATGGCCATCAGGTTGTGCATTTGTAGTGTTCATTGTGCAGTCATGTGAGAATCACTAACCCCTTTGGGCTGTTTATGCACCAATCAGAACTGGGTATTTAAGCATGCTGTGATATAAAGACCAGCTCAGCAGTTCATGGGTGCAATGTGGCTCTGAAGGTTACGCCTCTGCTCCTGTGATTAGAAGGTCGCTGGTTTCAATCCCAGCCTTGGCGTGATGGTTGTGTCTCTGTTGGGCCCTTGAGTAAGGCTCTTAACCTCCTGGAATGCTCCAAGGGCCCCAGATAAATAGTCTGACCCCAAGCTTCCCTCTCACTGCGTGTAAATGTGCCAAAGGAGGGAAAATGGGACGTTCTGTTCTGTTTTTTATTTCTAGTATGTATCATGCAAGAAATACATGAGCTTCCAACCAGATGAATGGTGTGAAACACAGTAAATACCCCTTTTGATAATTCACACTTCTGGCACATATTCTGTGTGTGATTTATCTTGATAGATCCCCTAACCCCCCAGAAAAGATCCATCACAGGGCGAACAAACACGCACAGTCGTACACTGTGGGTAATTAAAGATGACAGTTAGCCTATGAACTGCAGGAGGAAGTTGGAGTATCTGAAGGAGACCTGTGTGACACGGGGAGAACATGCAGACTCCACATACACAGAGTAGAGGCGGGATTTAAACCCTGTAGTCTCTCAGTGTAAATCAGTGTATCACATCCAGTAGTCTGTTCGGGTGGTCACGTCCAGTCGTCTGTGAGGTCGATCATGTCCAGTAGTCTATGAGGGCGGTCATGTTTGGCAGTCAGCGAGGGCCGTCGTGTCTGGTAGTCTTTTCGGGTGGTCATGTCTGGCAGTCTGTGAGGGCAGTCATGTCCGGTAGGCAGTTAGGGCAGCCATGTCTGTCTACTGTTTTGTCCCTGAGGTCAGTGTTCTGTGATTTATTTTCCACCGCTCCTGTAAGAACCCTAAATCCGTTGTTATACATTTTTAATCTTATAAGATGACTCTGTGCAAAGCAACTTAAAGACTATAAATAGTTTGCAGTTCATACCACCAGGTATTTACCCCTGAGGTCAGGATGTACATGGCACAGGTGCGCTCAGTGACCCAACAGCAGTAATCGGTTAACTAGCAGGTAGGGCAGTGCTGAACCATTTTAGTTAACCTGAGCAATGCTGCTTCTTTTTACAGGAATTCCATGGCGTCCCCAGTGAACATGCTGACCTTTCAGCAGGTTTCGTTTTAGCATCCTTTTCAGTAGGACGCATATCAGACCTGACATGGTTGATGCAAAAAGCAGGCAGGCTGGCGGCCCAGAGGGGCGAGAGGGTGAACGAGTCCCACAGACACGCGCCGTGACGTGGGCGTGTGTCACAGAGCTGTTTTCTGCATTACAGCTCCTGAGCACCTGGAGTTTATGTAATGTGAAGGTCGTCGGCCAGCCAGTGAAGGTGTGGGAGCAGTAGATGCTCAGCCGGAGGGGTGCGATGCTGTCGTTTGCTCCGATTGCAGCCTCAGGGAAGGCGACCCTCTCGCCGAGGGCCGCAAAGCATCGAGCGCTTGTCGCGGGCAAACTCAAACAGATGCCCGGAGAGTGAATGACACGTGGCGCTGTTTCTCGGTGCCCCTGTCTAAGGTGTTAAACAGCCGCCCCCTCCTCTGTCACCTCCCGTGCGTCACAGCCTCTGCTCAGCTCACTCTGTCAGCTTCAGCTCAGAACAGCCTTACAGATACTCCTCCAGGGAGCCCAGTCTCACACAGCTTGGTGTTGCAGAGCTGGCTTAAGGTCATGGGCTCAGCCAGCCCAAAAAGCAGCCCCTCCCAGCTCTGCGCTTTGTCGTCCTGTATTTCCTTCAGTTAAGGGCTGTTCCTCTCTTAGCCCTTCAGCAGCAGAATGAGCCGACAGCGTCCATTAGACCTGAAAATGTGCATTATAATGTCTGTTGTTAGGTTGCGATTCATTTATTTAAGCAGTAACGCTGCCAGGAAGCCTGTCTCTGGTACTAAATCTTTTATGGTACGTCACATGCTTGGTGAAAATCTTCTTGCATTTTCTGGTGTACATTTCAGTGTGATTTGCATATTTATAATCCTGTAAAA